TTGAACCGTGGTCCCTGTGTTTTGCTTAGCTTAGCTTGTTCTAAGTAGGTGCTTTAGACAACTGAGCCATCTCACCAGCCCCCTTAGCAATTTCTTTAACATTCTTGGCTTTATTTGCCCACGAATAAAGTGAAAGAATTTAATCTCAAAGTTTCTAAAGCCCTTCCTGTCTGAAAATCTTATACAGTTCAGCAGTATCATATATCTTGATTTCATAGATGAGGAAATTACTATCTAAAGAGGTTAAACACATTCTAAAAGATGAAAATAACCACATGTAGAGCTTGGTGCTTGAAACCAACAATAAAGAGAAAACACTGGAAGCAGCCAGAGAAAACAATAAATTATATACATGGAAAGTGAGATGAGCGGCCAACTCACTTCTCATCAGAGATGGTGAAGCAAAAGTAAAGTGCTCAAAATGATACATATATATGGGAAAATACGCTTCAACAGCTAAAGCTAGCTAAACATTTTCTCATATGAAAGAAAACTAAGAGAACTCCTTACCAGAAAGCTAACAATACCTGAAACAATTCCTGTTAAAAAGAAATGATACCAGACAGGAACTGATAAATTTAAGAAAAAATGGAGAATATTGGAAATATCAGTGATGGTCATATCACACCCAGAGTCTCCATCAAGGGATGGCTCTTGTATCTATTACTAGGAACACTGTCCATGAACAGCCTTTGGTTTCCAGTGACTTTGCTTCAGTTACTTGACCCTTACAAGGTCAGGTCCTTTTGGGACAGCTCTGCTCTACTGCCTGAGCAAGACAGAGGCCAAACGGACAAGCCATTCTGATCAATGCGAGGCTCTCCAGGGCCACTGCAGCTCCAGGTCTCACCACTGGACCAGATGAGGTAGCAGTCAATGAGGCTGCAGGAGGACTACTTCCCCTGCCAACATGGTGTACAGCAAACCATCTCAGAGTCTGAGTGTAAGAGAACCTGACAGCGCTGATACTACAAGTACCACCAATTCTTTTAAAGAAAATTCTTTCTTTAGAAATCAAAAAACTTCATGCTTCAATACTAGACAGTTCTAGTTCGCCCTGAATACACACAAACAATATTTGTTTTTAGAATGGAGTAAAGGTTTTCCAACATCCAAAACATGAATTATAGCTAGGAAGAAACTTCTTTGATGCTTTATCTAAGTCATTTCTTTCTGGGGAAAAAGAAAAATGAACTGATTGCAACTGTGAATACAATATGAATTTGCATTATTTCATCTTATTATTAGTACTTTAAAGGTAATGGTTGTTGTAGGTGTTGTTGTGACACCTGTAACTCCAGCACTCAGAACACCAAGGCAAGAGGATAGCTGTGAGTTCGAGGCCAGCCTCAGCTACATAGTGAGCTCAAGGTCAGCCTGACTTGCATAGAGAGACCCTGTCTCAAAAAATAGATAAAATAAAATAAAAGTAATCATTTTTTATTTTATTCCTAGGAGCTGTTAGTGCCATACCATTCTAAACTATTTCAAAATCACAGATTGCTCTGTAGATCTATAGTTGGGAATTGGCAAATTAGCATGAAAGGAAGAAGAAGCAAAAGTACAACATTGGTTACAATATTCTAATCACTGCATAGATTAAGTTTTCCAATACATCATAAAACTAAATGACCCCTGGGTGACTTTATAGCCTCTGAAATACTCAGAGGCCCAACAAGAAGCTGTTTGTCTACAGTGAATGTTTTATTTCTTCCCATGTCTCTATTGCCTTCTTCAACCTACTGGCCTCCCCACCTCTAATACCTCACTCTTTCTTCTATTTCACAAATTTCTCTCCTCTTCCTTTATGGTTAAACACAAATGTAGAGGCCATGTTGTCTCTCTTCCCTTTTCTTCTTACATCTATGCTTTCTGTTACAGAAAAATTACGGCTTCTAGAAACCAAACCCAAAAAAGTTTAGTACTTATTATATTATTTTTAGCTCTGTGCATTCTCCCTGTGGTATCATCCACTCAATTATTGGTTCACAAACCCTGGATTTTGTTAAACTTTCAAGTACCAAAAGGAATTCCCCTCCTTTGCCTACTCTCTCCCCAAACTGAATTTAACATCATTCAAGGAAGTCCCTTCTCAGCCACTCATGTGACACCATGGAACTTTCTAAAATAGGAATCTGGGTAGAAATTCTTGACTCCTGTTTCAAAATAAACAATAAACATTTTACTAAGTTCCACTACTATGCAAAGGAATAACGCTACCATATTATTCTCTGAAAAGATTGTCATACATTATTTTCCAGTTCACAAAGCAACAGAAGGCTCTTCACTGTCTACTGCACAATAACCAGCTTCCTCTGGTTAGTGGTCAAGGGCCTTTGAAATCTAGTCTTATTTCCCAATATCCTCTAACACACAATCTCCGTTCCATCAAACTACTCTTCTTTCTTTCCTCAATTACCCTGCCTGTGTTCATGTTATGCATTTCTTCCTCTCAGTTTGTCTCTCTGCTTTTCCCCCTCTGTTCAAGCCTGTCGTTCAAGGCCCAGTTTAAGACCTTTCTCATCCATGAAGACTTCAACAAGGCCAACCCTAATTTTACCTTTCTTCAGATTTTTCTTGACTTCATATCAACTGCATGCTATTGACTTTAAATGTTTGCAATGGTTTTATCTCAGTTTTGTCTGCCTGATTTAGATTGTTGATAACTTTTAGGAACTTTTGTTCCACATACATACCCTCTATCTACAGTCAATGCTCTTAAAAAAAGACTTTAAAAAGCACAGATGCCTAAAGGAAAACAACTTATAAATTCTTATTATATATAAATTCACACTATCATAAAGTAGGAAAGGAAGATGGGACTGACATCACTAAGAATAAATCCCTTCTTTTTCAAACTAGCTCTTAATCTCTTTGGCTATCTTTTGTAAATCTGCTGAAACTACCTACCGACCTTGTCCTGATGATTATCTCTTCAGTGTCACTTCCTGCCCTCTAGTGGAAGATAACAACAAATAAGTAAAATTTAAACCAAAGAAGAAAAAGTTGCTTTACAACAACTCATATTGGTAAAATCAATAACTTTTATAAAAAGTGGAATTATTACAATCAGAATGGGAAGCAATCTGAACACAAGCAAAGGACTCTAGAAGACTACAGGAAGAGAAAAGAAGAGGTAATGCAGGGTATGAAGTTTGGAAAAGAAGGGGCCTACATACAAGGTTAGGAACTTGCCTCTAAGGGAGATGACTTCATTTATTTTTAGTTTCTCCTATAGTATTTTCTCATTAAATATTGTCTACTAACTATCATCTGGCTTGATGCTCTAAGGAAATAAGTAAAACATAAAGTAAATAGGTAAATAAAAATCCTATTGCTAGCTTGGTGTGGTGGCACATGCCTATAATCCCAGAGGAGACAGGAAGATCACTATGAGTTCAAGGCCAGTTTGGGCTACATAGTGAGTTGAACCCTAGCCTGAACTACCTGAACTTTGTATCAAAAATAAATCTTTAATGAATTTAAAACCAAAAGCAATATAAAAATAATCTTTTATCCAATTAAGATGAAATTAGAAAATCTATGAACCCAAATTCAACTCTTTGGAAATGTAAAATCCCTCTTAGGTGAAAGTGAAATTAAAAATTAAATCTTTGGTGTTATAAGCCATAATGTGTGTGTATATCCCACAGTGAAATAAAAGGGTAGTTGCACAGCCTGTGTATGTTAGCTATACACATAGGCAGTGATTGCTCCTTTGACTTTTGCTAAGAAGACCAGCAGCGATTGAGTAATAGCAGCTTTTAAGAATATCTAGGTTTAGTATGAAGAGAACACAAGTTCAAGGCCCATCTGGGCTACAAGGAGTTCAAAGCTAGCCTGGGGCTGGGGAGATAGCTCAGTAGAATAAACGCTTGCCTAGCAAGCACAAGGTCCTAAATTCA